ACACCTCCATTGACGTTCAGAGATGCACGCAAGCTTCTATGCCTGAAATCAAGATGAGATCAAACTGTATCCACGACCATCTCCAGCATGATAAGATCCTTTCTATGGACGTACATTCTGCACAAGGCAGCGCGCGATTCTGATCCCAGAGAAAGCTTTGCCCACTTCGGCCGTGAAGGCGGGCACGCAAAGCCAATCGTGCCACGATGCTCGCACATGCACAGCCCCTAGGTCTCCGCAACATACGGCTAAAGAAGTATCACCATCCAAAGCAGGACTTGCGCGGTGGTTTGTTCGGCAAAGACCACCGGGTGGTCGCCGCGACATCCGCTCATCTCCCACATACTTCGCTGCAGATGTACTGCCTCATCAATTTAGGTAGGTCGTTTGTAATGTTAGAATCTGTCTCGCAAGCGCATCCAGCAACGCTGAATCGCGCCTCCCCACTAAACACAAGCAGCAAGCACGGCCTAGGGAAGACAATCTCCAACATCTTTTTTCGCACTGCAACTGCAGGGAGCTGCAAGTATGCGTATACTTATTTGTGCCCGCTGCTATACCAGCTTAAACGTAACGGTAACCAAACCTCCACGCATGAAGCATTCTCTTCCCGTGCTTCAGTCTTGGTAAAGACGTTTTGCGTCGCATTTCGCAACCATGCAACAACGGTTCGATCGAATCAGCACGCTCTCTGTCCAGAATACAAATCGATCGCAACGCCGGAAAAAGAATGAGCTCACTGCAGCAGAAAGCACGGGCTCACAAACTGCATAACCGCACGGTGCTCACATATGCACATTCCCTATGTCTGCGCCAGATAGCGTGTACGCCCATTTCAGCAGACGGACCGGATTTCAACAAGGGTACGCGAAAAAAGTGCAAGCTGCGTACGAAATGCAAAAAGGTGAAGCTGGCGGCATTGCCCGTTCTACTGGAATTGCTGCTTCCTCTTCGTGGAAGAGAAATGGTAATCAAACACGCTTAGCAGCTGCGAGAAACGCCACGTGCAACCAGGAGGACGGCCTGTGCCGCTTTGCCACTGTCTACAGTGTTAGAGTGCTGTGGATACTTTGTCGTGCTATGCTGACCTCGAACCAAAATATGCGATGCTTTCACAAATTGTACTTCCTCCAGACTCAGACAACCTTGACGAACCTTGGCAGACGAAAAGCACCGGCTTGTATCACGGTTTTGCTATCTCTCCTGCTACCCGACTGCTGCACAATGAGCTACGGGTTTTGTGGTCTTCCGCATAGCAGAGATGCGCATTTGCACAGGCACTAGTTGCACGCGTCGTCGGCCGCCGCCCGCCCTTCGCTATTTGCACTATCCGCAGAACAAGCAACATCACAGAAAACCAGGCTGTTCGTTTACACGAGTCAGCGGCCGACACAAGTTACCATGCATTCGTTGCTGCCTCCTAGCACGTATTGCGCTAAACCCATACTCCGCCACCGATTCCGTGACGCCGTGCGTTTTCTCAAAACCATTCTTCCAGGCACATAGAGAAAAACTGAAACATCCTGTCAAATTCGATACAGGAGAAAAACGCCGCTAAAGCGAAAAGGGCGCCCGTTTCTTCCTGCATCGCAACTCCACGCTTCTGTACGCATGCCAGCAAGCTGCCATGCCCCCACTCACAATGCCTGTACTGTTACAGTGTCCGCGACTGTCGCGAAAAAAAGCCATCGCTTTCAGGGGCGCACACTCTGCGTAAACCACCGAGCGATCATCACGCCAGAAAAGGTTTCGCCGCATTGCAGCCGCATCCGACCGCACACATAAAGTCCAGATGCCCACTGTGCTCGCAACTGCAGGCGCCCTATCTCTTCGGCATATACTCTGTATACCCCTTTCGGATATTGGAGCTGGGTTCATCCAGGCCATGCACATGAAACGGAGCCTTAGTAGCATCTGCAAGGAAGCGCCTCTGGCTTCATGGTGCATACTTGTCGAATCGCCTTCTGTTGGAAGACCACTCTAAATCGCAAATATTCAAGATGTACAGGAACCACAACTTACAAATGCAGAAAAAGGGCCTGAGGTGTATTCCTGCCTACCGCGTCGGAGTTAATTGATCACCGTGCCGTGAAATGCCGAGCTTGAACAAAATTCAACGCCCCATTCATTAGTTGCCACTCCTTAAAGCACAACGTAGGCTCACCGAACCAGCGAAACCAGTTTGAGCTGTCGACGCCGCTTGCATTTGTCTCGCCCAATAGCTACGCAATGAGAGCCAGGTCCCGCATTCTCTCGCGCGGGTGCAGTTGGTATTTAGACCATTCGTGTATTCCGCGCCGTCTTGCGTAGGTCGTCAGTCACGAATCTGCTTCCCCGTAGAACATCCACAATTATACAAAATTGCACTGGATGCCACTATTGCTGAGCGCCTGCTAAGCCATCCTGTAGTCGCCTCTGTCTGTACCCGCGTATTTCGCTGCACGTGTATTCGCTCACAAATTCACGCAGACCGTTTGCAGGGTCGGACTTTGTCTGTGTAACGCAGTGCCAAGATACGCTGCCCCAGTGAATACTATAGAAGAGCACCAATAAAGGAAGGCGAGCCCCACATCTTCTCACACTTCAACTCCGTATATCTGCACCCATGCACGCGCAGGCTGAACCGTAATAGTGCCAATGACGGCTTTGAGAAGATGAATTTTCTTCGTCTGTGGGAGGCTTCTATGAACTCTCAACTCCGTATCAGGTGCATTATCTCTGGACAAAGCGGCGAGTGATCGCAGTGCCAGAGAAGCCTTCGCGACACAGCGGGCATGGAATCGAGCATGTTCATGCCGCACGACAAATATTACATCCGTGCAGAATGAAAGCCTGCCTACAGCTAGCTTCGGCTAACTATGTCGGTGCATTAAGAACCGTGCGATGATGAAATCGAACGCGCATCGGTTACATCTTCATAAACTGTAGCTACTCCGAACCAAGGATATCTTGAAGGACCTTGCCGAAACACAAACCCTATCTAAGTTACGGGCGCCGCTCTACTCTGTATTGCGCAACAGTAACACAGTGAGCTACAGGTGCCGCGTCCTTTCGTCCAGGTGTTATGAGTATTTACACGGTTTGGGCTGGCCAAGTCGTCGACACCGGCTCGCCCTTCACTACTGCCGTACCCAGCAGATCAACTACCATCATACATAAGCGGAATGTGAATCAATACGACTAAGCAGTTAGCAAGAATCACCGCGGAGGCGCTGCAGTCTCCAACTAGGTATTGCACCTCCCATGCACCGCCTTATGCATTCGCTGAAATTGTCTGTAGTGTCAAAATCTGTCTGACAAGCGCCCTTCGCAGCGAAGAAACACCCCTCCCCAGCGCCAAAACACCACGTCCCAGTGAGTACCACATACAATCACAGTCACAACAAAATAAGCTCAAACTTCATCTCACACTCCAACGCAAATGTGCACGCATGCACATGCACATCAATTTATGCTCTCATACATCCTGAAACGCAACAGTACCCGCAAACGCGCCGAGAAGATGCATTGACTTCGCGTGCTCCAGAGTTGCCGCAAATTGCAGTGCTTTTTCAGCCTCCGCATTTCAAGAATCCTGGTTGCTTGGTGTTTGCACAGTCCCTGCCAAGACAGCGGACGATCGCCACGCGAGACAAGCGTTTGTCGCGCCGTTGCCCTACGCGAGTGCAGACTGCTCAACTCTTTTCTTCGCTCATGGTGCTTGTCCTTCTTGCAATCACAGCGTATCATTTCATTTTTTTAAATATGAGTGAGTATATAGATGTGCATAGCTTCTTGCATATCCATGCAGCTTTTCGAACAACTGGCTATCAATACTTCTAAGTGCTTCGCACAATTGATCGCGCAGTCGCTGCTTCCTCCAGCGGCGTCCTCCGCTCCAGATCCGCTATCACGCGCGTTCAGTGAAATCGTTTGCAATCTCCGACTCTGTCTCGCAATTGCAGGCGGTGACGCAGAAACACCCCCCCTCCTAACCAAAGAAGAAAGTCGTCAAAACAAAACGAGCTCCTACATCGTCTCAACGTGCAACTACATAAATGTGCATGTCTGCACATAAACATCCATGACTGCCACCGAAGTGCATGAAACGCGAGTTTACTTATATGCGCATGCTAAGCAAATGAGCTTACCGCTGCCACTGCAGTTTTTTTGTTTGGAAACTCGCGAGCCTCCGGACGCATAGATGACCTGCCGTAGTACTGTGGCCACGATAAGATGCACCTAGAATATTGGCCCAGATAAGCCGCATGCCCTGAGCACGCCTCATAGCCGCTGCTTATGTTGCTCACTGCTGGCCTCGGTGCACATTCCCAACTGTCGGCAAAACTGTTTGCATACTTGCTGGGCCCAACAGAGCGCGGTTGCAACCAAGGAAGGCACTGCCGCATCGCCTCTGCATGCAGGCGCATGAACTGTATGCGCGTCTGAGTTAAGAAACATCCACTTCAGCATGCCTTCTCTTCTTTCAAGGGAAGAACATTACTACCAACATATTCACAAATTGCACTATCGCACACCCAATACAGCCTAACTACCCACATCAAACCACTCCGAACACAAAACAGCCTGACTATTATCGCCAAACAAGAATCGCATATATGCCCTACGGGTCCTGCTTTCCTTTGCATTACTCAACAGCTGCACAATGAATGGGCATCGTAGTATTTTGCGCAAGTAAGTACTGGCACGAATCGTCTTGGGGGCCCTGTCCCGCGCCGCCGCCCGCCGCCCGCCCTTCACAATTGCCAATCGCCGGAGAAGAGGCCTCATCATACACAACTGACGGTACATCAGTACGTCGAAGCGTTTGACGCAAATCACCGCGTACACGCTGGCACGTCAAACTCCGTATCGCGGCATGCATATATTCCCTCACCGCTCTAGTGAAATCGTCTGCAATACCAGACTCTGTCTCGCCTGTAGACTCAAGAGCGACAAAACGTCCGGCTGCAGTATATACCAAAGGGAAGCGCGGTTCAAGCAAACCGGGCTCCAACTTCTTATCTCACTGCAACTCCGTAAATCTGCACGCACGCACGCGCACACCCATGTGTGCCACCCAAATTCCGGAAACGCGAGCCTATCTAACCACGTACAAAGCAATAGAATTTGGTATGTATCTGCCGTACGTCCTGGGCGAGGCAGCGAACGATGGCAACGCAGCGAAGGCTAAGACACACCGCAGCCGTAGACGCGAGCAGACGAGCTGCATAGTCACATGATGCTCACATATGCAGCTTCCCGAGAGCGCAAAGGTTTGCGTATACCGTTTTCGACGGAAGGAACAAGTCCAAATCATGGCAAACCAACCAAACAGACGCCTAGTGCTGGCTGCGTAAGAATGCAGTTTCCAGCATGAAGTTCTTTCTTCAACCGCTTCTTGTTGGAAGACCAGCGGCCAAGAGCAAAGATACATATACACACATGAACCACGCTTCATTCTCTCGCGGTTGTCCCTAATAAGTGTGGAGACTCTGCTGCAAAACATTTGCCGTGAAATGGCATGCACAAATGCCAGGGCCACGTAGATAAATTGCACCTGCTCCGGACGAAAAAAAACTCAACTAATCTCGCCACACCAGAACCACCCGCCAACGCAAAGGGGTCCGCGTTTGTTTGTTATGCTCAGTAGCTACACCGTGGACTGCAGGCTCTGCGTTTTTCTGCGCAACCGCCATTAATACTCACCCAAGTGCTTTTGTAGCACCGCGATGCAGGTGCACTGCATCGCCGATTCAGTGAGATTACTTGTGACGGCGGGCTCTTTCTCGCAAACGCCCGTCGCAGAGACGGACAGCCCCGGCACACCAAATCCCAAAGCGAGCACGGCTGAATCAGAAACAAAATCCTAATTCGTTTCAAAGCAACTTCATAAATACGCGGAATGCACATATACATTCGTGCCTGCTCTCATACAGGCTGAAACGTAAGT